GCGACGGCGGCCAGGCGTCCTCCGCGAGCCGGGCCGCGAGCAGAGCTCCCCGTGGCACGTCTGCCTCCGTTTCAGATCAGTCGGGCTTCTCCCTCCAGCTCGATCTGCAGGTCGCAAACGCCCGTGAAGTTGATCTCCTCGCCGCCGCCGGAGGCGGAGGGAGGGGACGGCTGCTGAAGGCCGTCTGCCGCGGGGCTTCGGTTCACGTAGGCCTCCAGGGATTTCAGGAGCTGCTTCGGTTTCTTTCTGGTGGATAACTCCAGCTCTGGGGAGGTCAGAGGGAAAAGCATGAGGGCAGAGAGCGAGGCCCGGACGGTGTCGGGGACGCAGCGCGCTCCTGGGGTAAGGTTTTGACCCGTGTATTATTTCTGGTGTCCCAACACATCCCCTCGGGAAAGAGCAGGATTGTGTTTTGCTTGGGATGAGAGAGGACGAAAAGCTCCTCGCCAAAACCCCTGGCCGAGCTCAGCGTCAGCCTGAGCTCCCCCGAGATCCCCCCCCCGGGAGGGAAAGCCCGGGGAGAGCGGATCGAAGCGGAGCCCAACCGCAACAGCTGGACCCCGTTTTAAGAGGGAGCCATTAGCGCGGCGCGTCCGAGCGGCTCAGTCTCCTCCGGAGTAAATAACCCCGCTGGTTAATTTAGCGCTCGCTGCGAAAAGCGGCGACTCCGCTTATGCCCCGCGCTACAAACGGGGCTTACGCAACCGCACCGCCTGACGGAGCGAGCCTGGGGAGCAAGAAACGTCCCCGTTTGTCACCACCCACCTCAGCGACCCCCTGAACACGGCGGGCGCTCACCTTTAGGATTCCAGACGCAAAAACGGGGCGGGGGGGGGGAAAAAACCCGCCCCACGGGGCACTGGGATAGTTAAAGATTGTTGAAAATCTCGGTGTGAAGATTAAACGATGAAGGGTCGGGGCTTTTCCGGGCGCTACAGCCCTCGGGGACGCGGTCGTGCTGAGAACACACCCGGTTTGTCCTCTGGGCCTCGGGTTATTGTCCTCGGCTGGGAAAGGAGGGGAAAGCGCGGGGAAAACGCACCCTTTAGGAGGGAGCCGGAGTCGGCGAGGGTCTTGTGCTGCCTTCCAGACGCGCGGTAGAGCTGCAGGGATGCCGCCGCGCACAGGGCGGGCAAC